AGTTTCTCTGTACGCGCGCGCGAGAATAATTACAAAATAGAAATAAATTAAGTAAGCGAAAAATTTTCTGATTTATTGATCGAAAAATACTTTACACTTTCTTTCTTACAAATTCTATACTCTCTCGCACATTTTTCATAATAAAATGATTTGCAGGTAATGTATGTTGCCAAATGTCAAGTGCAAGTTTATACAATGTAAGCGCTTTCAAGTAATTGCCCATATTTCTATACACCCATGCGATGTTGTTGTAAGAAGTGGCCAAATCAGGATGATTTGCAGGAAGATTTTTTTGGGAAATTTCAAGGTTTTTTTCGTAAAATAAAAGTGCTTTCGAATACTCTCCCATGTTTTTATATACTAGACCGATGTTGTTGTAGAAAGCAGCCAAATCAGAATGATTTGCAGGAAGAGTTTTTTGGCAGATTTCAAGGTGTTTTTCAAGAAACGAAAGTGCTTTCGAATAGTCTCTCATCTCTATATACACTAGACCGATTTTGTAGTAGGAAGCAGCCAAACCAGGATGATTTGCAGGAAGAGCTTGTTCACGAATTTCAAGTGCTTTTTTGTAAGATGAAAGTGCTTTCAAATACTCTCCCATGTCGTCATACGTCTCACCGATGTTGTGGTAGGAAATAGCCAATGAAGGATGATTTTCAGGAAGAGCTTTTTGACAAATTTCGCGTGCTTTTTCGTAGAGCGAAAGTGCTTCCGGATACTTTCCCATGCTTTTATACGCTATACCGATGTTGTTGTAGGAAATAGCCAATGAAGGATGATTTGCAGTAAGAGTTTTTTGGCGGATTTCAAGTGCTTTTTCGAAAAACGAAAGTGCTTTCGAATACTCTCCCATGTTTTGATGCATCCCACCGACGTTGTTGTAGAGAGTCGCCAAATCAGGATGATTTGCAGGGAGAGTTGTTTCACAAATTTTAAGTGCTTTTGTGTAAGATGAAAGTGCTTTTGAATACTCACTCATGTTGTCATACACCCTAGCGATGTTGCTGTAGGAAGTCGCCAAATCAGGATCATTTGCAGGAAGAGTTTTCTCGAAGATTTCACATGTTTTTTCGTAAAACGAAAGTGCTTTTAAATACTCTCCCATATTGTTATACACCAAACCGATGTTGTTGTAGGAAATAGCCAATGCAGGATGATTTGCAGGAAGAATTTTTTGACGAATTTCAAGTCCTCTTTTATAATACCATATAGCCTTCTTATAATCACCTTGATCATCCTTGACATATCCAAGTTGAGTATAATAAAGTGCTTTTTTACTCTCGTCGGATGTCTGTTCGAGCAATAATTCGTAGAGTTCTTCAGCTTTATCTAATTGGTTTATTTTGAGGAGCAAGCTACCTATTCGCTCCCATCCTGTCCCACCTGCTTGTTCTTGTATATGTTTGGTGAGTGTACGAAGTTGTTCATCATCATCCGATGTCAGTTTAAGTTCCACTAGATAAAGTGGATTGTTTTTATCAATTTGTATAATTTCGCCAATACGAAAGACAGTGTGCATAGAGAAGAGGATTTCTTCTTCTGTTTCGAAATAACTAAATTCTTGGATGGCGGCGAAGGGAACAGATGATATGGAGGGATTAATTGTCATTTCAAAGAGAATACCGATCATCTCAGTTTTTGTTAAGGCAGCTTGAGCGAATTCAAGAGAAACCTCTCGTTTTTTACTGGTGGACAGAAAGTTGTTGAAGGACATCAGTCCACCTTTTGTTTTACGAAGTTTCTCAAAATCTGTATTCGATAGACCTTGTCCTCGATAAACTGTAAAGGACTTCCCTTTGTGAGCACTAATCTGTTCCTTATGTAATTGTTCGATTTGATGGTGAAGTTCACGAATAAAAAAGCCCATATTAATGATGGTATCCGACTCCAGCATACGTAAAGCACCGTTGAGCATAGAATAGATGAATGATGGGAAAGTATACCACCAGATTGGTGAGTGAGCACGGCATTCGTTCTCAAATCGAGTAATATTGGTTGATGACCCGTAGTTACCTTTCCTACAGTAATTAGCTAAATCCTTAATGGATTGTTCGTTATATTCCATTTCAAGCAGAATATCCTTTAATATTTGAGTATACATGAATGAGGGTTCCAGTTGATTTAAATCTTGACTAGAAGCTCCTCCACTTATTGGGACAAAACTCATGGAGATGGAATCTTGATTAAATTGCTTTACCGTCATTTGCAATGCTTCGCAAATAGGTGTAATTTCTATATGCACACCTTTCACCTTAACCCATTGTTGGGCCCATTGCTGA